TGGACTCCAATGATGGCCATATAGATATTGAGAACAGATGATCTTCACCTTGATAATCTACTGTTCAATGTGTGCCACATTGAACCTGGGGATGTTTCATAAAGTTACTTATTTATTTCACAAATACATTTTACAGTGTTTGCTGATTGGATTACATCGCCCAAACGCATCGTTAGGTAATTTATTATACCCCCGACAAAATGTCGGGGGTATATAGTTATACCAAGATTCCTTCCGTCCGTCCGAAAATTTTGTCCGCGCGATTTCTCTTAAAATATTCAGGGGATTCATCTCAAACTTAGTACATATAATCTGTGTCATATGGAGGGATGCAGTCAAAAGAAAATAATTGTTTTGATCAATTTTACGTTTTTTTAATGAATTTTTGAAACCCTATATATCCTAGCTATTTAATTTGTAACTACTGACACACTAGGTGGGTCGGGGGTATTAGTGAGCCACGCTCATTTTTGCACTTGTTGACATTGAAAACGGAGGTTTCGAAATCGTCACGAATTAAGCGTGGAATAAAGTCTGCATGCACTTGGCACGTGGTGTTCAGGGAAAAAAGGCTGTTAGGGGTGGTATTATCTCTGTAAATCGCTACTGTTGCTTCAACTGTGGGCAATGCTCGATATGCACGACTAACCGACCAGAGATTGTCCAAAATCTGGCAGACCAAGGATCACATGCTTCCCGTTATGGACCCTCAACGAGAGATTTGTCAGCAGAACAACGCCCGACCACACAGTGAACGTGCCACTGCACGTGCTATACGTTCCCAACAGAATGGGAACATTACTATGCTTCCGTGGTCATCAATATCGCCCAATTTAAACCCACTTGAACATCTATGGAATGAACTCAAACAACGTCAACCGCCGCCTCACACGCTTCACACTGTGTCAGGAATTGCAGGATGAATGGGCCACAGAATACCAAAGAATCGAAATCAGCGACTGATTCAGTCAATGTATTTTCAAACATAGAAGTAGTTTTTATACATCAACCAGTGATTTTTATCCCATGTTTTAAAATGGTGCTTTATATATATATTGTATTCTTATATATCTGTATCATTAAATTGTGTTTATATTAGTCTCTCATAACAATGTTTTATGTGTATATAATTTTGAAAAAAATATGCCTGTCTGTCTGTCCAACGCTCCTCCCAGCGCTGGCCGAAGAGACCCATCCCTGCTTACCTGAATGTCACTGTGGTTGTTGGTCACTCAGATGCCATAGGGGCTTGCAGGTGTATTCGGACTGCCTGAATATAGAGGTGAAGTAAGTTAGATTTTCGGGCTTTGAGAAAAGTCAGTAGTAATACAACGAGAACTGGCTTTACATGGTGTACAAAAGGTGTCTGGATTCGTATCACACGGTAGTGTACAGCTGCATTGCTGACCATCGACGTGTCTGTATCATCTCAATTCCCAATGACAGTAGAGGTCCATGAGAATCAGAAATCCCTACGTTATAAGTTCTCCAAATACTCACTGGTCTGATTCCATTGGAGGTCTCTGAGCCTGGGGGAGCAGTCAGCCCTTTCTGAACAAACTGGGGCAGCTAGCTAAATTCGTGGATCGCCCTACGGATACCTGCAGCGGCGTCATGCAGGGATTATATTCTTTCTGGTCCATGTTGAGAATAAAACTCAGACCTCAAGAAGGAAACGGTAATTCATGAGTATATACTTTATATGACCATTAGTATCATAAAGAAAAGTGCAGAGGGAGTGAACAACCAAACCGTCCAAAGTGCCTTTAGTTGTTGTGCAAAGTTGAACTCCTTGGCTGTCGCGGAAATCGTTGGCCATGTGTCCAAAATCACAGATTTACCGAACACGTTAACGTGGTTTCAACAAAGTGATAAACGTCTACGAACTGCATCACATTGAACTTTCCTCCAACATCAAGCTGACACACAGTGATGATAAAGGTGAAATAATGATCCACATTATCATCCTTAGTTTATCACTTCTCTGGGGTTGAATCACTAAAGTGTTTCCTCCACATCGAAGCTGAGACGCCTCGATAGATCTTAACTACTGTAAACCCAACTGACTCATTCGTACGTACCGAAGAAAAACGTTGGCCAGCGTTGTTGACGTCGAGGGAGCGCGTGCTGTTTTTCCATGGAAAATGGTAGCAGTTCGTGTAGTCGAGGTCGTTGATCCACGAGAACTTGCTGTAATCAACAGTGCAACAAACGCACCAAGGCACCGACCATTTGATGATGGGGAAGGGGTGGATGAGTTGGAGGGTGTTTATTTCACGTTGGATGTCCTTGATATGTGTTGTGAGTGAAATTATTCTGCACCATCAATGTCTGAATGTTTCGAAGCAGTGCCTGGAAACTTATTCTGTGTCAAACCAAAAATCTCAGGTACCCAAAAATCCAAGGACAAGATCAGACGTTAATATGAGGTAGAAAGTCATCTACCAATAACGTGTAGTGGTGGGGGTCAAGTTCAGTTTCTTACCTGCAGTAGATATTGACTTATTCCTGATGTATTGTTCTGCTTGAAGAAAGTGGATGTCGGAGGTTTATATTCTGAGGTGGATAACCTACCCAGGATGCATTGCTTGGAATATTTCAAGGTCACATCTGTATTTGTGGCGAGACTGTTTCGCTAGGATTGCTTGTTCTGAGAAAAAAAACAAAAAAACCCATGTGCAAATACCGTCACGCTGGTGCGATGTTGAAGTAATAACATGAACCTGAGCATGTACCATATTTTTGTCAATGTTACATTGAATTCCACCAAAGGACATCATATTTGGTTTATGTGCTGGATAGCTCTTTGAAATGTTTTTGAAATATTTGTCACTGATATTAAAGGTCAAATTCACTGTCAAGGTCAAAAGTGATAACTCATGAAGGGTTGAAGTGTAAGATCTAACTAATAGTGAAGGTCATTTATAATGTATTTATTCCATTATCACTAAAATGCCTATTTTTGGAGATATTTATGAAGTATTATGCATGCAGTATTATATGTTATATTATTTGAATACTCATGTATGAGCAGTGGTAATAAATCACATTCACCTAATTTCAATAAGTAGCATAAGCCATATTTTCATTTTTGCATATCATTCTGCCTAGGGCCTTCATAAGTGGTATACGTGATATGAAGCCCTTTGCAATTGTTTTTGAAATAGTCGCAACTGATAATGAAGGTCAAATTAACGTTCAATGTCTTTCAGTAAAAATGTTCACAGTAACTGAGGAAGAGCTCACTGTAGGGCGATGAAATCTAGTACATGCCACCCTCAAAGTGAAGCATATTGTGTTTTAAACTTCAATGAAGCTGGTATGACTTGATATGACTTGTACCGTTACAAATAATCTTATTATCATCTCACCAGGACCAAAGGCCCAAGTGAGCACACAGTTGATGACTTTTACTTTCACTCAGAACAAACTGGAAGTCTGAACATAAAATTTAAGGATATCATCACGCATGTATTAGAACTGATCTTTGTTCATTAAACAACTTAACATCTAAAAAGAATTATAGATGAAATTGAAACACTGTCTTCTCCAAAAGTACATGCCCACAGATCTTTAAGGGGATACTTACTGAATACTGAAATAACACAGAGTATAACTACAGCTATCTGATATGCCCAGGCTAACATTATTTACTAGAAAAAAAGACATCTCGCAAAATTGCATCCGGATACCTTCAGCAATGTTCAATTTTCTTGGTTAGGTGTTTCACACTTAATTGAACAAAATACACCCCTCAAATTGTGACATTTATTTTGAAAAAAAAGGAGGTATCCGGTGGGGTATCCGGTGCCGGAGCCTTGGACACCCAGATTGAGGTATCCGGTGAGGACTCTGGTGCCGGATACCCGGATTCCAGGAGGCATGCTTTCCGGTGAGGTGTCCAATGCCGGATACCACGGAGCTGGTATCCGGCAAGGTACCTGCCACCGGGTACCACGGATCAGGTATCCGGCAAGGTATCTGCCACCGGGTACCACGGAGCTGGTATCCGGCAAGGTACCTGCCACCGGGTACCACGGATCAGGTATCCGGCAAGGTATCTGCCACCGGGTACCACGGATCTGGTATCAGGCAAGGTATCTGCCACCGGGTACCACGGATCTGGTATCAGGCAAGGGATCTGCCACCGGGTACCATGGATCTGGTATCAGGCAAGGTATCCGCCACCGGGTACCACGGATCTGGTATCAGGCAAGGTATCTGCCACCGGGTACCACGGATCTGGTATCAGGCAAGGGATCTGCCACCGGGTACAACGGATCTGGTATCAGGCAAGGTATCTGCCACCGGGTACCACGGATCTGGTATCAGGCAAGGTATCTGCCACCGGGTACCACGGATCTGGTTTCAGGCAAGGTTTTTGGTAAGTGTCCGAAGGTATCCGTAAGGGATCCGGATACCGGAAACTGCATTTTGTTTGCTGTGTTAGGTCGCCGTCATGCAATGAACACAAAAAACATACCGCCTGTTCACTAAGAGCGGCTGTTGTGTAAGTAAGACAGAAGATATGTCCGAACGTAACTTTTATTTTTGCCATTACAGATACAAAAAGGCATGTATAAAAACTGGATTGAATTACAATTTGTATTACGAATTATTTAAAACATGTTTAAAAGATGAAATTAGACAAACAGGAGATTTAAGATATATTACTGACATATTATTTAGCAAAAGATAACACTAAGACATCTATGAGGTGATTGTATTGATAAAAAATACATGATAAAATACACAGTGCTCAAAATGTATCATTGTATGATCAAATTACACAATGTATATTACACGCAAGAGATTCTAATATAAGTTACTTCTATGAGTCGCCCCTGACGATCCGGGGTAGAATAGGTCTTCAGCAACCCATGCTTGCCGTAAAAGGCGACCATGCTTGTCGTAAGAGGCGACTAACGGGATCAGGCTGGCTGACTTGGTTGATGCATGTCATCGATCCCAATTGCGAGGATCAATCTCAAGTTGTCAATCTCTGGATTGTCTGGTCCAGACTCGATTCCTTACGGACCCAAGTCGTTAAGCTGGAATATTGCTGGGTGCGGCGTTAAGCAACAAACAAGCAAAAACAAACTTCTATGAGTAACCTCATGCGTTTCCATATCGTAAAGGGGGGAGGTTGGGAAGTCTTTAAAGTTGTTAAAGTGTTAGCACGTCGCGCTGAATCCCCGGGTTCGATTCCTCGAATGAGTACAATATGTGAAGCCCATTCCCATTGTCCCCCACCGTGATATTGCTGTCGTCTTCATTTCAGCATACATATGTTCTGAATTAGCAACTTAAGTTGATTATTAAAACACGCATGATACAACAATTAAAAGTACACAAACACTTGAAACAATTTGAAACCTGTAAATATTTTGAAAACAATAAAATAGAATGTTTGGTCCCAGTGATTCACACAAGGGTGTGCCATATCCGTGTGCATTCATTTTCCATCGATGGGCGTCACGTGGGTAACCTTGTTGCCTGTCTTGCTCTTGAAGCAGTTGCCGATCATCAACAGGACAAGCTCAATGGCTTCGCAAAGGGACAGAACTGATATACCCAGCCACAGTCCCAGCTGGCCTCCGATGTCACTCAACAAGTTCTCCCACTGAAATAGAACAGTGGAAGTTACTTTACATTCAGTCATCCATATGTATCACATGTGCCTAAGTATATCCAAGTCGGTGTATTCTGCTGTGCAGTGGTACCTGACAAAAACCTTGTTTTTTGTTCGAATAATAATCTTGTTAGGGTAGGTAAGTATCTATGCCTATGCTTGTGGATTTCCAGGAAATGGTAAACATTTGTTTTCAACTACAATAATTGCAAGAATACTATCGCATTAAAGGGAAAACGGGTTTGCTTATTTCTGTGTACTTGTAAGTCCCAAAGGACCACAGGTGGACCCGGATGTCGACCACGACATTCATAACGAAAATGAATCGAGTGCGTGAGATTTAACGCCGCTTTGAACTGTATTCAAGTTATATCACGTCGTGTCATATGCGTTATGTGACGCTATTTGAAATGGTCGTAGAAATAGCATGCTCATTTGTACCACAAAAGTCCAGAGACACCAAAGACCATAGCTAATAAAAATATTGCTCAACATAATGGCAAAGTCGACCAATAGACAATCGAAGTCACCCTTCTTGTCTCAAATTCTTTTTGATAATGTCTTTGTTCCTCTTTTCTTTGTTCCTCTAAATCAATATGCATAGATCTAAATATATATAAAACATATGAAGTGGTATCACTGGTGTCTTTTATTTCTAGCTTAAGTGGGTATATCAGTGAAAAAGAATTGGCTATCGTGTGTTTTTCTCTATAGTTTGACACCATGGTGTACTACCATCGGAAACATCCAATAACACCAACCTTTCTGATGTGTCATCATGGTTCAGATGTAATTAGATTGCAAAGTAAACAGACCGCATATTTCTATAAGCCCACGTCTGACAAAAGCAAACAAAAACAGTTTCGGATTAAGATTTATGTGTCTAGTAAAGTCAGTTTGGCTCAACATGAGAACGATGAATTGCAAAATTGCTCAAACTCGGGAATAGTCTATTACATGTCAATACGGTACACATCAATGAACACCTTGTACCCAACAATATCTTCTCTTTTTTGTATTCCAAACGCTGGAAAAAAGTTGTTTAAGAAACTATCATATTGTTATGTGTACGTTTTGTACATGTACGTGTATGTGTAAGTTGACATCTTGAAGAAAGGGGCAACAACGGCAGGACGAACAGCGCAAACACGTACTGCACGTGCTACATAGTATACATCGTTGTTGACTGACAAGATGCGCTGCTCAGATGACGTGAAATACTTGATTTTTGTTATTTGTTATTTTTCAATTCATCGTGCTCATTTGGAGCCAAACGGCCTGTAGAGATTCTCCTACCATGTAAGCTGGCACCTCCTGCACGATCTCCTCAGTCAGCTCGGAGAAGAAGACATTGAGGGACACCAGGTTCTTCCTGTAAAAGCATACAAAAGCACCAGTGGAAGGTGAATGACTACATCATAAAAGTTAACGCCAGTTGGTAGTGTGTACACCCTAACCCTAACCCTGACACTTGAACAAACCCTGCCCCAACCATGAAATCGTAACCCCAACTTTAACCATGCCATCATCATAGTGTATACAGGGGAAATGCACCTTCTAACCCTAACCATGGCAGTACATAGTGTATGCAGGTGGTATCCTTACCAAAATCATGCTATTTCGTTGTGAACACAGGTGGTATCCTAACTCTAATCATTCCAGTCTTATATACATTGTAAACAAGAGTATCACTAACTCTAACCATGTCAGTATATAGCGTAAACAGGAGTTAACTGCAAATGTAACCATGCCAGTATATAGTGTAAACATAGTGTAAATCCTAACCCTGACCATCAAATTTTAACCATGTCAGTTCATAGCGTCCATGTGAGTAATCAATAGGAACATGCAAGGGAATAGTGTCGTCGGTGCAATCATCACCGTAACCTCCAGAGGAAGATTGAGAAACGTTTCTCTTATCAGTTACCTTGTATCAATGTCTCCCAGTGACTTCTCCTTGTTGGAATTGATGACAGCTTTGAGAGCCATGTCGTGGTGGTCCGAGGGCCATGTCGTCATGGAGAGACGTCGCATGTAGTCATGCTCCCTGCACGGCAACACTAATTATTATACTTCTCAAAGAAAGGTTATTGTTAGGTTCTCTAACACTAGTTAAATATGGTTAGTTGTTTTAATAAGCAAGTATTCCATGTCCTCCACATTGTTTCATTTTCATAAACATTTAAATATGTGCTTTTTATTTCGGCGCGACGTTGCTCGCGATATCAGTCGGTAGCAGTACCCTCACTCACCTGCACGATATCTGGCATGTCCCGCACGTGAGATTTCCCTCCTGTCTTTTCTTGATAACCTCCTTTATGCAGTCGGTCTCTGCAAACAATTCTTATTGTTCATAGTAGATCATGAACAGTTGTTCTTATGCACATTTGAGCAAAGTGTACATTATATCTACAGTCAAAACTCGCATGATAGTATTTCTCCTTCAGCCATTTCATCCATTCCCCAGCTATCACAATGGTATTAAGTCAGATGTTAAGTAGAACAAGAAAAGTATATACATATGTTAGACGATCTGTGTTAATTTAGAGTCTAATCACACAATTTCAGTGTCAATATCAGTCCCAGATATGAACATAGAGAAGTTAAAATGAGTATTTGTACACACTGTCAATAAAAGGTGATTTCGGATGAATTTCACGATGTCTTATTGGTATATGATACGTTTGATATTTTAGAGAAACGTATATTCCGAAGTAAAATAATATTCATGAAAACAGTATGTTGTTGATTACTCTTATAGAATCCAACAACTCTTATGTAATACGTCCACCATATTTTCAAATCACATATTGTCAGATATTTTTTGTATATCATATATATCACATAACAACAAAAATTAACCGTTAACTGCACAATGCAACCACAACTACCAAATAAGATATCTGTCTGTCTGACTGTCATGTCATTTACTTGATGCACCAAGCTACACCAATCTAATCAACAGACCTGCCATCTAATGCGGGGTCTTGGGAAATAGTATCTACCACCAAGGCCCAAAGATACATCAATCCAATGAAACAACTTGTCCAACTTAAGAATGGTGTCAAGATCTAGTCTCAAACGTCAAGGCGCAAAGATACATCAATCCAATGAAACAACTTTTCCAACTTAAGAATGGTGTCAAGATCTAGTCTCAAACGTCAAGGCCGTAAGATACATCAATCCAATGAAACAACTTGTCCAACTTAAGAATGGTGTCAAGATCTAGTCTCAAACGTCAAGGCGCAAAGATACATCAATCCAATGAAACAACTTGTCCAACTTAAGAATGGTGTCAAGATCTAGTCTCAAACGTCAAGGCGCAAAGATACATCAATCCAATGAAACAACTTGTCCAACTTAAGAATGGTGTCAAGATCTAGTCTCAAACGTCAAGGCGCAAAGATACATCAATCCAATGAAACAACTTGTCCAACTTAAGAATGGTGTCAAGATCTAGTCTCAAACGTCAAGGCGCAAAGATACATCAATCCAATGAAACAACTTGTCCATCTTAAGAATGGTGTCAAGATCTAGTCTCAAACGTCAAGGCGCAAAGATACATCAATCCAATGAAACAACTTTTCCAACTTAAGAATGGTGTCAAGATCTAGTCTCAAACGTCAAGGCGCAAAGATACATCAATCCAATGAAACAACTTGTCCAACTTAAGAATGGTGTCAAGATCTAGTCTCAAACGTCAAGGCGCAAAGATACATCAATCCAATGAAACAACTTGTCCAACTTAAGAATGGTGTCAAGATCTAGTCTCAAACGTCAAGGCGCAAAGATACATCAATCCAATGAAACAACTTGTCCAACTTAAGAATGGTGTCAAGATCTAGTCTCAAACGTCAAGGCGCAAAGATACATCAATCCAATGAAACAACTTGTCCAACTTAAGAATGGTGTCAAGATCTTGTCTCAAACGTCAAGGCGCAAAGATACATCAATCCAATGAAACAACTTGTCCAACTTAAGAATGGTGTCAAGATCTAGTCTCAAACGTCAAGGCCGTAAGATACATCAATCCAATGAAACAACTTGTCCAACTTAAGAATGGTGTCAAGATCTAGTCTCAAACGTCAAGGCGCAAAGATACATCAATCCAATGAAACAACTTGTCCAACTTAAGAATGGTGTCAAGATCTAGTCTCAAACGTCAAGGCCGTAAGATACATCAATCCAATGAAACAACTTGTCCAACTTAAGAATGGTGTCAAGATCTAGTCTCAAACGTCAAGGCGCAAAGATACATCAATCCAATGAAACAACTTGTCCAACTTAAGAATGGTGTCAAGATCTAGTCTCAAACGTCAAGGCGCAAAGATACATCAATCCAATGAAACAACTTGTCCAACTTAAGAATGGTGTCAAGATCTAGTCTCAAACGTCAAGGCGCAAAGATACATCAATCCAATGAAACAACTTGTCCATCTTAAGAATGGTGTCAAGATCTATTCTCAAACGTCAAGGCGCAAAGATACATCAATCCAATGAAACAACTTGTCCAACTTAAGAATGGTGTCAAGATCTAGTCTCAAACGTCAAGGCGCAAAGATACATCAATCCAATGAAACAACTTGTCCAACTTAAGAATGGTGTCAAGATCTAGTCTCAAACGTCAAGGCGCAAAGATACATCAATCCAATGAAACAACTTGTCCAACTTAAGAATGGTGTCAAGATCTAGTCTCAAACGTCAAGGCGCAAAGATACATCAATCCAATGAAACAACTTGTCCAACTTAAGAATGGTGTCAAGATCTAGTCTCAAACGTCAAGACGCAAAGATACATCAATCCAATGAAACAACTTGTCCATCTTAAGAATGGTGTCAAGATCTAGTCTCAAACGTCAAGGCCCAAAGATACATCAATCCAATGAAACAACTTGTCCATCTAAAGAATGGTGTCAAGATCTATTCTCCAACGTCAAGGCGCAAAGATACATAAGTCTTATAAACAGACCTACTATTTTCAGAAAGGATGGTCAGGATGGTGTATTTCTGTCACACACTTTTGTGAGTGACCTTTGCACTCAAGCTCAAGTTCTTCATCAATAATCGAGAATCCGTGTTTCAACTTGACACTACATGTTGTCGCAAAGGTTGAGTATGTTTATTAAAAAATGTTTAGCTGTGACGTCATTTACGGATCTTATGGCATCTCGTTTCAATTATGTTCCCTGTATTTTCAGTGACTTGATTGGCGACGTCAGTGCTCCTCCACGCACCCATGTGCAGATGTGCATTCTTTGTAAGCCAACGTACTAAACGCGACAACATACGGCCCCGTCTGCTTCTGTTGTAGAAGAAGGGCGCTTCCTTTCAGTGTTTTCGACCATGTTGAGTGAATGTCTAAATAACGACAACTCGCCTTATCAACCTGACTGAGCAAGGTGACAAATTCTTCCAAGCCTAAAATCACATTTTGACATGATTATACAGATACTTGTTATGTTTAGGTGCTGAATTTAGTCAAGGCAGATCTCAAATTATTAGAATACTTTCTTGCAGTACTACTTATAGAAGTATATTAATATTATGCTACCATGCTCCCTATACATTCCGGTTCAGAATTGGTCTTCGGTAAAAAATGCTTGTCGTAATAGGTTAATACATGTCATCGGATCTCAGTTGCATAGTTCGTTGCCCACGAGCCAATCACTGGATTGACTCGCTCAGATTCGATTATTTACTGACCGCTGCATATAGCTGGACTATTGCTGAGTGCGGCGTTAAACAACGAACAAATCAATCTAAATGATATTATGTAATTCTTCAGACTTTATTCAAATGGCCACGGCATCATAAACATAGAGGTGCACTGTTTCTATGGCAGATGCAGGGAGGACGTGAGTAACAACAGCAAACGTGTCAATAACAACTGATTATGAAACAGGTTCTCAAAAAAGATCCAGTCAATTCTTTAATACGTTAACGCTTCATTTTATGGGGTAGAAATACCCGTTTCTGTGTGTTACCCTGATAAACATGGAGCTCATCAATGGTGAGGTGAAATGGGGTTTAACGTCGCGTCCAAAATTATTGCACTTCTATAGCGACGTGCATGTGTGTGTGTGTGTGTGTGTGTGTGTGTGTACTAGTCCGGACTGATGCCGATTTATAGTGCTAGCTCACTGAGATACCATGTCGCAGTTTAACATGAATACCCCACTCAGACACAGTATACTGACTCCGAGCCGACCAGTCCTTGTTTTAGCCCCTTAATGCCGAGCGCCAGACAGGGTAACAACAAGTACCATCTTTTAACGTCTTTTTGTATGACGCGGTCGGGGATCGAACCCCGGACCTTCCGCTCTCCGGGCGGACGCTCTACCACTAGACCACGGATGCGGTGCTCATCAATGTCACCCAGCAGGTCTATTATAATGTTTACAAACTAAGTCCACACACATTTGGTTAGTACGTTATTCACTAAATGAGTTATCGTACTCACGGCCTCCGGAGCACGTGTAGGTGGTGTTGTTGGGGTTGTCGATCCTCCGTGAGCATTCACATTCATTTTCAATCAGATCCTCCAGGCAGCTTCGCTGACACGTCTGTAACAATAGCAACGACATAAGAATATAATTATCTAAAGTACACATAATGCCATCACAAGCGAAAGAGAATACAACCGATTTCATACTCTTTAATTTCATATTACAATGAACCCACATTAATTCGCCAGGTATAGCGAATTCCGTTTTGAATGATTTGTTGGTGTTAGATTTGTCGGTTTATGAAGTAAAGTTAAACTAAAGTTAAAACCGTAGGTAAACACAGTCTGAAAAATACTCATTCTATTAAAGAGCAGATGACACAAAAAGAAAAAGTAAAGGATTCTTGAATACGTAGTAAGTGAACGACGATTTGATATATTCGTGGTGATGCCCATTGATATATATATGAAAGTTCCAATGGTAATGGGTTCCAGTTGAAAGGGGGCCGGGCAAACGGATTTCACTGTACACAAACATATTGCTCTCACTGACAACAGCAACACAAAACATTTACACATGAGTCAACCCTGTTGATATGGCTAACCACAATTATATGGAGTAGTGGCACTGCACGAACCCCATACCGTCAGATTCCGTCCTATAAAGTTCATAACATGACATCCGTATTACAAAAGAGAGAATAATATGTTTTATGGTAATTGGGCGAATTCTTTGATTTGACGAGAGACAAACTCAGAAACATTTTGAACATATTGGGTGTGTACGTCATCTGCCTGTATGTGTTTCACATCATAGATAGTTCCACAATGGATTCCTTGCAGTGCTGGTCGAGGGACTCTTCCCTGCTTACTTGAATGTCTCCATGGGGGTTGTCGGGTTCACAGTTGCCGTACGGGGCTGGCTGGTGTATTCGGACCACCTGAAGAATAGAGGCAGTGACTTGGAGAGTTGGATTTTCAGATATAACGCAACCAGAATTGGTTTTTCATAGTACACAGTGTTGGCCGAAAACGTATCTATCGAACTGAACAGCTCCCCTGTGGAATAAATAAAGAGCCACTGCCAATCGTCAATGGGTCAGTATCATCTCAAACCCAAATGTCAAGGTCCATGAGGATCTGAAATCGCCGAGGACAAATTTTCCACCCTGAGATTGGCGAATACTCCTTCATCATTGCTCAATAACAAAAATATAATGATGTGTTTGTGTCTGTCTACACACTGACTTTTGTAGATTCGCCAGGGTGTGTTTGATGAAGAATATGTCTTGATGAAGTGACCTAGGAACCATTCCGTCTCTCACATAAAAGAGAATCGCAACAAAGAACAGAGACATGACACAAGACTCTCCACTCAAACACAAACAATCGGAAAAATCGCTAATAGCTCATCAAGGTAATTTCACTGTCTCGTACTCACTGGTCTGATTCCAATGGATGTCTCGAAGCCCGGGGGAGCAGTCAGCCCTTTCTGCATCAGATTAGGCGGCGAGTCGAACTCGTGGATCGCCACACGGATACCGGCGCTGGGCGTCACGAAGGGGATGTACTCTTTCTGGTCCACGTTCAGAATCAAACTGAGACCTCAAGACAGAAGAGGGCAAAGCACACTACATGTGATCATCGGTAGTACAACGCCTTTTCTATGGTGGGATGTGATGGTTGGGGGTCCAAATACGAGATTCTCCTGCTTTTTCAGCACTAAATCCCTGATCGTTGGTTAAACATCTACTATCTGCATGCCTATGGGCTTTCCGTCCACAAGAAGCTGACACACAGTTATAATAGCTGGAAAAATGATTGTCATCCTTAATGTTACCTTCCCGTGGGATGTATTACTTGGGGGTTTCCTCCCACATTAATTTGACAAAACCTCGACTGATTCATCCATACTCACCAAAGAGTTGTCCAGCGTTGTAGACGTCGAACGAGCGTGTGCTGTTTTCTCGTGGGAACTGGTAGCATGTCATGTAGTCAAGGTCGTAGATCCACGAGAATTCGCTGAAAGAACACAACCATATCAGAGCTGTTGAATCGTGTCAACGAAAGGACAAAAAGAATAGATCATTTGATATTTTGTTGTGCGTGTGTCTGTGTGCTTTATGCTGGATGTTCTTGACAGAAAAGCGTTGTGGAACAACCTAATTGTTGGCAACCTTCTTTCAGCGTTACTCATGAATGTTTCGAAGCAGAGACCGAGAAATCCCCCCTCAACTTCTCACCCCGACACACTCGCACCACCTCCACCCTTCCCCACCACTCACACTTCATACGTCGTTCTGGTCCATCTGCCCTAGGCAAGGGCGTAAAAGTCCAGTTTCCACCCTTGCGAAACTAGGCTTGAATGGAGTTACATTTTGGCTGGACTAACGAGTCTATGCATAGTCCAATCAAAATCGCGATACGAACCCGACGTCCGGTTCGAAAACAAAATGAATTTCAACGCGCAGATTTAGGTAGACGGTAGGATTCGCAAAACATGTGAAACGTCAACTGGGCATCGACTGACATTTTCCAAATCTTTTCATGTTTTTAATCAAGGTACTCACATTATTTAATGCACTTCGCGAGGTAAGACCAGATTTAGTTCAATACAGACCTTGATTATCGACCAGATCGTGTTGACTGGGCGCCGCCATTTTGTTTGAAGCACATGCAAGTGATATAAGAGATGGAATCTGATTGGAAAATAGGAGGGACACCGAAGGGACATAAAAGGGACATTACTCGTAGTAGCCACTGGTGGCGCTACGATCGAGCCCAGACATTCCAGCGAACTTAGGCAAGGGTGGAAGCTGGACTGTTGTAGTCAGCTAACTGCTTTGCCACGTGAAGATGCCTTTCCGTAAACATGTTCGCTGTTACAATTGTTTTAAAAAACACCTTCACACGACAGAACGACATGACATACTCATCTGATGCGCGAACATTTCGTGTAATCACTATCTATGATGAGACATTTTTCCGTCTCATGCACATTTGATTGCAATGACCACCTTCACACTCGACAGTACACATGACATGTGTCGTCACTGCATTTAGCAGCAATGTATCGAATACACACATACGCAATTGATACATGCTAAACGAGACTGACATGCCAATGCACAGTTGCAATTAAGTGAGTGTTGTGCTTACCTGTTACCAAAAAGACAGACATATTTTGACGTTTCCACCCAAACTTCACCCAAATATACATGCAAGAATAATAAACAAGCAAACAGTTTCGAAACAAAACATTAAGTATGATCCACTATGTTTTTGAATACCGGCTCTAAAACCACTTATTAGTTATTAATACATGTGTAATCGACATGCTGGTTAAATAACACAGACAGAAAACGACTTATCTACTGTTTGAAGGTTAAGGTTAGATTTTAAATTGAGGTAGAGAATAACTTACCAATGAACAGTGTTCTTATGGAGGGCCACGGTGAGTTTGTTGCTTGTTTTAGAGAATGGTCACTACAATTATATTCGTCTGCTGCAAAGAAGCCAATATCAGAGGTCTATCCTACTGAGGACGACCCACCAAGGATTTATTGGTCTGCTGGGAAAAGGTAGGTGTTTATTCTACTGTCTCGCTCAGATGCCTTGTTCTGAAAGGCAAGGATTGCACGTGGTCGAAACTTACCTGTGATGACAGTCGCTGCCGGCGAAGGTGCAGCTGACGATGAGCTCCGAGACAGGCTGTGCCAACGCACGGATGTCTGTCTTGTCTACCAAAGATAGCAGAGTATCCATCCGGAACTCCTCGGGTGCTTGGGTCAGGAACTGACTCACTGAACAATGCAAAGTGCGATTTAGATGTGAAGTGCATCAAGGGAGTTGACAAGAGAATTCTTTGTACTTTGTACTTTCAAATGGGAAGAAATCCATTTCTCGTATATTCAAGCCAAATAATCGGTTATGATAGAATTGGTTTTATGTACTGTACTCGTGTTGGGAATGGAACCCGGTCTTTATCGTGAGGAGCCAACTGTTCAACCTCTACGCTGCCCCGACGCCCCTACATATATCGCATTACATGGTCACACATTGATCTGCCTTCAGCTATATAGAAATTTAAGTACTAATCTTATTTGATATAAGAAAGGAAACACATGTACATGTAGCGTCAAATAGCTGCGGTTTGTAAGTATTGAACCAAAGTTACCTGAGTATGTATTCCTTGATGTTACGACGTCATCAACGAAAACTTCCCCGCCACCATCGTTTTCCTGTTCATAGACCAAAATTCAGTTACTTCACGACGTAGGGATCATGTCATTCAAATGACATATATATGTAGTCAGGATGAAGTGCCAGTCAAGTTGCTATTCAAATGTCCCCCACTTGTCCACCGCAAAGCTTTTTGAAAGGTTGACTGAGGTCTTGATAAAGTGACCTTGATCAAAGAACTTTTAACCAAGAGTCGTATGACGCACTTTGTCATCTTGGTAGAAAGAGCATGCTCGATAGTTCCTCAAAAGTTGTGAAATGCAGACAACGGGAATAGAGTATTGCTCGACATAAAGGGAAAGTTTACTCTCTTGTCATACAGTATTGTGGAGTGTTTTCTGTCACTCCGTTTTAATATATGCACATATCTAAATATGAAAGAGACGAGGCGGTCTCATGGTTCTCCTTTAGTGCTAGTTCAAGTGGGTAAATCAATGAAAGGGAAATGGCTAATTGATGGTTCTTAAAGGATATGAGATTATTGATATACTTGAAAAGCAAGTATCTTTTAAGCTTCTTGATCAAATTAACCTGTTTTGACTTTGCCAATCAGAGCAGAAAATCGGATTCATATGCATACAGAAACAGATCAGCAAGAAGGAGAGCACATTTGGTGCCCATGGAGATTAAGATCTAGCCACCATACTTTCGAAGTCATTGGCAGTAGATTGTTTCATTTAACTTCTGTGTTTTTATTTAACTAAATCGTAAGAAGCAAAAAGTTTTAAAGTGACACCCTCCGACTTTAGGCCCAGGTAAACTCAGAAATGAACCCACTGCATCTGATTGCGATGTGTTGGTACAACACAAGTGTTTCAGGTGAAGTCAAGAGTGAACCTACTGGGTCGGATTGCGATGTGTTGGTACGACACAAGTGTTTCAGGTGAAGTCAAGAGTGAACCTACTGCATCTGATTGCGATGTGTTGGTACAACACAAGTGTTTCAGGTGAAGTCAAGAGTGAACCTACTGCATCTGATTGCGATGTGTTGGTACAACACAAGTGTTTCAGGTGAAGTCAAGAGTGAACCTACTGGGTCGGATTGCGATGTGTTGGTACAACACAAGTGTTTCAGGTGAAGTCAAGAGTGAACCTACTACATCTGATTGCGATGTGTTGGTACAACACAAGTGTTTCAGGTGAAGTAAAGAGTAAACCTACTGGATCGGATTGCGATGTGTTACCAAACTGTTCCAGCGAGACGTTGAGAGTCCTGGACAAACTCCTGAGGGCGGCCATGGCGAATTCGTTGCTTTTTATGTTGGAGTACTTGAACGGGTTTAGGTTGCACAGGGTGACGCTCGGGAACTTGAGGCTGCGGGTGTTTATCGTCGTCTTGGTTGTAACAGGCCGTCTGGAAAAAAGTGAGTGATTTGACGTTAACGCCGCTTTGAGTGCAAAGGCCGAACACGCTTTCGTAAGACGTATGTAACGAAACTGACATTACACAGAGAAATGTGTTTCCATGATATCAAACTGTCCCAGGACCTCCTAAAACGTACATTGAATCCAAAATAACATTAGCTGTTGATTGTAGCAAGCAAATATTATAGCAGTGTTTTTATAATATAAACTGTTTCAGAAAATACAGGGAACCAAGTTGATCCGTAAGCCTGGTTGGAATACGAGCGCACCGTATATTGTGACGTAGCAGTGCAACAGTGCAAAGATGGAGGTTCTTCACGTTATTGACCAATTCTTGGTATTGGCTAGTATTGTCCAAAACCACTTTGGTAAATTGGAGAATATCTGCTTGTATACCTTGCATGAATTCGAAGCTGGGGCACTGCCAGTCCTAGTGAAGGTCTGTCTTTCAAACAGTTAACAAATATCAAAATAAGCAGATTTTATGTATACATGTAACCTTTAATGTTTAATAATCTCATATCTTGTTTAAGTCGCTGTATGGTTGACACAACGCACTCACTCACACAATCACTCACTCACTCATATGTAATAACCAGAATTTAATCTAAAATAATCATTCTTGAAGACATTTGTATTACATATGATAACGTTTTATTTGTAACGTAGGGCGGTGGAATAGCGTAGCGGCCGACAAAACAGTATTTCGTCACGCCGAAGACACAAGCTATCTCATCACAGAGTGTGTGATGTTCATCGTCATTGTTCCCCGTAATGATGTATCTGCATTAGATGTAGTGAGTTAACAAGCGAGTGCTGTTAACTGCTATATCCCGACTGTCTGTTAATTATCAATGCTGCATAAGGCAAACTAAAGACTTAAAGCCTGAGCAACGATCCAAGACAGGTAGGTACGATGAAACCCATTCAGCCATGTCACAGATCCGACTGATCCAGATGTAAGTCGGCTCCAATGACCCAGCATGACGTACTTGGCGCCTCTTCATATCCCAACAGGGAGAATAATTTCTAAATGCAGAAATGTACATACATAAGACATGTGAATCTATTTGTAACATAGCAAGACGTACTTGTCGCTTCTTCAAATCCCCAGAGGGAGAATGATTTCTAAAGGCAGAAATGTACATACATGAAACATGTGAATCTATTTGTAAAATGATACCAAAGTGTAAAGCATGCACTTCAATTCGGCCTATGATCCTTCATACAGTAAACATTTCATGTTAAAGTTTTAAAGACAGCTTTAAACAGTCCTTTATTTCAAAGGACATTTTCCGGATAGCTTACCGTTTATAAGCGTCCAGCCTTTTGAAACAATTGCTATTTCCATAATATCTGAGATCAATGCTCAAAGCGCTGTCTTCACTTTCCAAATATATTATTTACATATTCCTGTCTTTCGCTTCAGTCTTTGTGCATTGTGATTTCCCATTATGGCCTTAAAGTTGTCTTCTGTGCATTGCTCAATGTTTAACGATGGCGCCAGTGTTGATGTGGGCTGGTCTGAATATTTCATTCACTTTCATCTTTTGGCAATAACTCACTAGGTCAGCAAGTAGAATGTCAGGCTTTGTCCACACAGTCAAGAACACATAGTCATGCGTGGCTACAGCCAACACAATCTCATAAAACACCGACGTAAAAACATTACAACACTGTCTGGGAATCACTTGGAAGAGTAAACGAAAACGAAATCCATAACGTCGAATATGTGATCACACCATTCGTTTATATATAAGGTGTTGAGAACATTTTGCATTTTGCAACAATTTTGTTTCCTCTCATGTTATTTTTGTTAGCCACCAATTTTCGAGCGCAGTTAGATCGATAGATTTGTTTCCCATGCAGACAACATATTGGTACTGTGTTGGGTTTTATACGGATTTTAGTAGTAATCGACCAAAAACTAAAATGGGCTTCACACATTGTCCTATGTGGGGAACCAATCCGGGCCTTCGGCGTGACGACCGAACGCTTTAACCACTACGCAACCCAACCGCCCTACATAATATATACACATGCACAAAAGTTAAGCGCCACCATATTCATAGTCTCTTTATTTCACGTGTCGGAATCAGAAATATGATGATGTATGACTGAATAAGGCTTCCATAGTTTCATGAACCCAAAACGTCCTCAACTGACTGAGAGGCACATGCGGAATCGTCTGATATGGTGCCGTGCCCGTAGTCGATGGAACTTGGGCAACTTGAGAAGGATCCATTGGTCTGACGAGTGTCGAATGCTGCTACGAACTGTTGATGGTCGAATACGTGTTTGGAGGCAACGTAACACTCGTTTTGCACCAAGGAACATCCAGAAGACCTTAGCATATGGCGGGGGGTCTGTAATGATATGGGGTTGTGTTTCCTTCGACTGCAAACTTACGTTGGTGACAATTCGTGGAAACCCGAATGGCCAACAATACCAAGATGCCGTTCTTCGTCCAGTGGTTTTCCCTCATTTTGACAACCATCCTCTTCAGACAAGACTTTTTGGCTTATTTTGCGTCAAGAAGCTATTGCCACTCTTTCTTGGCCGGCCTGTAGTTCGGATCTTAATTCGATTGAGCATCTCTGGGACATTTTTAGCCGGAAAATCAGACATCGTGATCCCCCAGTTCAAAATCTCGCTGAAGCCGCACTTCGGTAAAATTCCTTTCTGCTCATATTCTTTTGGAACAGAAGATAAACTTGCTTGGGGACAACTTTTGCATCACACGAGGTTTACATATACGGCTTATAACAATCGTACATCTCGTTATAATAGTCATCATTAAGTGCCAAAAGTAACAGCTCACAAATATGGTGGGTGGCGCTTAACTTTTGTGCATGTGTATACTTAGGACGTATTCTGTCCCGGAATCCTTACACTGGCATGAACAATTTATTTGGAATAATATTGAAACAATCCAAAAGTTTCAAAAACAACAATTTAAATCACATTAATTAATCATAAGGCACACATTTACAGGAATAGTGTCATGATAACTCAGCGTGATTAGTGGATAAAAAGATTAAGAGAAATGATGGATTTAGTATTTATCCGTTATACGATAGGGCTGCTGCAGCGATGATTGCGCGATCGATCTACAAGTACTGTCCATCGTTGATTTTGTAAAATTGTTTCTTTTCAAAAACTAAATACCATGAACTCACTAATTGGACCACGAAACTGGCAAATTCGGATTTTTTTGTTTTCGTTTGTTGTTTAGCGCTGCATTAGCAATTTTCCACCTATTTGACGGTTGCCTTTACGTACTCACATCTAGACCAGACAATCCAGCAACTATTAATGTCAAAATGCGGCCTCGTCTTGGCATATGTAGGACAGATTTCTTTTTGTCGACAGGTCTAAGATATATAAAGAAAATCCAGTTCCATATATTTTATTTGGATTTCCTCAAAATGTTTAGTAGTTACGAAGTTTTGGGTAAAGGAAAGGGTAAGAAAAACGTTAAGAGTTACCTTTATGTCTTTAGTGACAGGCATAACTTAAATATATTTAAATATTCCATTTATATTGATAGCCATTGTAAATTATTTTCTTTTTAACAAAATTCACTTATTTCTGGTCAGGTAAGTTTTTTACACTGCTTTTCGATTTTATTAATTTTTTTTATCACATTTCAATTTGTAGGAGTCGATGGATTCGTAAGGCAAGTTGAACAGAAATCTGGCCCAAAAGGTACATCATCTAACATCCAGCGTCTACGACTTAAATGGTAGTGACTGTATCCTTGCTTATTAGTATCAGATATAGAGAACATTCCCTGAGGTTGATTAACCCACACCTGAAACTGATTTAGGTAACTTGAGACACTCTGACTCGCCTTTTACACTGATTAATTGACATTTACATGTAAAACTGACTTACTCATTGTTTATGTCGGCTGACTCACCTGCTAATGAACTTGCATAGCTGCATAAGGAAAGTACAATGTCATATTGATGTCGTCCACATGTGAAGTCGATTACCACAGCTTTGATACTGACAGACTCACCTCAAGCACCAGATATCGAACCTCGGATACTACATGAAACATCACTGAAGCTGGTTGACGCACATCTGTTTGACTCACCTCTAATGCCTGTTGACTCACTTCTGATACTATTTGGCACATATACTGGTATCATTGTGATTGACTCACGTTTGGTAGTATTTGACTGACCTCTCATACTGGTTGACTCATATCAGATAGTGATCGACTCATCTCTGATAGAGGTTGATGAGCTGCCACACTTGCATGATGATAGCTCCTATTGCTGTCAATAGAAGAAGGAGCTAAGCAAATTTGATAAAATATAACAACTTTCCTGGGATGTTCAGCAATTTACTTCTTCGACTACTTTGCCATTCCTTGGAGGAAAGACGGGCATTGTTTTTCTATCATCCTTTGTATCTAAGATTGGTGAGTGGCAGACTTTGTCTATGATGCAATAGAATGGTGCATTGGATAGCCGCAAGTTCTCTATTCCACCCATCTCTCGAGCAGCTTCTTGTATCTGGTATCCGTAGACTGGCACCGTTTCTCCACCCGCGTGTAGGAGTAGGAGTAGTGTGTTCGTCTTTCGTCCATTGCTCTCTAGCGTTGCTACGGCAAACTTCGTGCACACGTATTTTCCAGCTGGCAATGTTGGTGCTTTCTTATGTTTGGAAATGGGTGGCGCTGGTAATAGCTGTCTGTCCATAGTGGCCATTTCTTGCTATCGACGCAGTTGTCTGTGGCGCCGCATTTGCAAGTGGAAGTAGGATCTTCGAAGATGATTGGTGGTGTAGGATAAGTGGTTAGACAGTCCCCGCATTGGTTGTGTGGATTTCTTTCCCTTTCTCTAGAGGAAACTATTCGAAGTTTGCCGAGGCTTCGATGTCTGTTGCATAAGAAAACGAAGCCTAGTATCTTGCCAGCCTCGATTGCAGGATGGAAGACGCATAGGTATATCTCTAAAAACTGCCTTGGGATTTGGTTCCGCTCGTAGAAAGTATACCCTAAGGACTCCAAGATTTGTTTCTCTCTATCGGATAGGAATAGAAAAGGGTATGTTTTTTCGAGACAATCGTAGGCCTCCAAGAGTTCTTCTTGTTTCGTTTCTTGCTGTTGGAAATTTGTCCCCTCTTGGTTTCCACGAATTCGCATATACCTAGCTTGTGAGATGTGGTACTTCTGTTTTGCTGCTCGAACAGATAAAGTGCCTGAGCGAATTGGTAGGGCTGCTCTTGGCATTTTTATACATCCTATGTACCTCACATGTTTACTTGGGAGTACACCTATTTAGGCGCATTCGTCTTTGTTCCTTTTCCTATACTTTGATACAATTCTGTTTCAATACCTCTCGTTTTTCACCACAAATAATATTTAGTTTAATGTCATGTCGATCGTAGAATAGCATAATCATTTTAATGGAAGAGAGAGAAAATTCCCCTCCTGTAGTAGTAGTATTGGGGTATAAATCTGGCCCCATCGTGGGTGAACTAGTTTCAGGGTTCAAGGAGAGTTATCTATACTACTGGCCACGTGGACACACATGTGTTTAACCAGCGCAAAAGTTGCAGTGTTGACAGGAAGGAGGTCCACGTAACTTGCAGAGTGTATTCGTTTTCATGGAGTCATGCTCAAGTGCACGTGTCGCAAATCCTTGTAGTTGTACAACATGCAACTGTACCCAAAGCCAGTTGGCATTTGCGAAGTTGGCGTTCACGTCGAGACTCTGATTTATTGAATGACAATTTGATATGCCAGATCACATAGATTGTAATTATGTTACATTCCATTTTTGAAAGTAACCGTCACTTGAGTTGTAGGAAAACGTTCTTTGGATCAGGTCATAGCTGTAACCACTGGGTAACATTGGAGTGCTATCAGGTATGAGTGTCTACCAGTATTGGTGTCCACATGGAACGAAATTGAGGACTCCTAATGCCTGTGAAGCCTAATGCCCTTTATGCATGTTTGCGAATTTGTGGTCTGCAAAAAAGATTGGTTGGTTGGTTGTTTTACGCCGCACTCAGCGATTACCAGCTATATGACGGCGGTCTGTAAATAATCGAGTCTGGACCAGACAATCCAGTGATTGATATCATGAGCATCGATCCACGCAATTGGGATCGATGACCTGCATCAACCAAGTCAGCGAGCCTGACCACCCGATCCCGATAGTCGCCTTTTACGGCAAGCATGGGTTCCTGAAGACCTATTCTACCCTGGATCTTCACGGATCCGGCAAATAGGGAGTAACATCCAACCAAACATCATACTCGACTGCGAGACTGTACGATTTCGTACAAAACTGTTTCAGCAGAGTGATAACTTCATATACTAAGTCTCTTTTGAAATTATTTGACCTGATGCAATAGGAAACTGTATAAGGTGGCTATATTTGTTGTATAGGTCAGTTTCTAAGAATACCTAACCGTACAAGAAGACAGGAAGTAGTCATCCCTATGGACACCAATTGCGCTCACCTTCTTCCTTATCTGTTTCTGTATGCATATGTATCAAAATTTCTGCTGGGATTGGCAAGGACAAAGTAATTTCATAGTCCTTTAATAACCATCAAATAACCCCAGTTTGGACGGCTTCATCTGTTTCATATTTACATCTATGCTTAAAGATCCAGTGGGACAGAATACTCTCCACAAGCCTGTATGAGGGATGACTTCAACCTCCAATAGTCAACGTTACCTTTTTTCGAGCAATATTCCTGCAGCTCCAGCCATTGGTGTCTAAATGTTTAGGTTCAAACTAACTTGCTCTTTCTACCAAAATTTCAAAGAGCGCAAATGCAACTCATGCTCATAAGTTGTTTGATCAAGGTTGATTCAAATTTGACGCATCAGTGACGAAAATAATTTTGGATTCAATTCTCTATTTTGACTATGTGCCCGTGGTTTTTACAGATAAACAGTTCACTTGACTTTGCATGTGTTTGTGATGGGTGCCACCGCTCACCTTTTCGCGAACACATAGTTGATGGAATCTTGCAATCGACTCCGTTTTCCGCAGCGATTTCTTATGAATATTGAAAGGATTTTGTCGCAATAATGTATTTGGACAATAAAGCTGTAACGGTGTGCACAGACAATCTACAGCCGATATACACATGTACACAGACTGTCCACGTGTGAAACGAAGGTGTACAGTTTGTCTACGTGCGAGAGGAAGGTGTCTATACACAGCCTATGTTTGAGATGAAGGTGTACACAGGCAGTCTGCGTGTGATATAAAGATTTACACAATGGTACTGCTAATAGACGTGCGTAAGTGAGCTGGGTGTAACGCCGTTTTGAACATCATACCAGTTATATCACGGCGTGTCAACTTACTGTGGGAAGAAAGCCCGAATTGATGCAGGTCTCAGGCGTTAAGCAATATGAGGAAAACCCACGAAATGCTGACCAACCGAGGAAGATAATCGACATACCGGGGTTGTTGCGTGCCCAAGGGACGCAACTTTACACAGCGAATTGTAGCTGCGAAGACGGCTGGGCCATCCGTGGCCCCACTGCTGATAAGAGTGAGTGAGTGACTGAGTGAGTTTGGTTTCACGCCGCTTTAAGCAATATTCCAGCAATATCACGGCGGGGAACACCAGAAATCGGCTTCATACATTGTACCCATGTCGGGAATCGAACCCGGGTCTTCGGCGTGACGAGCGAACGCTTTAACCACTAGGCTACCCGGCCGCCCCCTGCTGTTAAGAAGCCTGATTGATTGAGAACTCCCTGTCGCAAGTTGACATCTGTTTGACTCACTTCTGATAGTAGTTGAATCACTTCTGATACTGGTTGAATCACCACTGATCCTGGCTGACACTCCTCTGTTACCTTTTATACTCACTTTTGATTCTGATTGATTAATTTCTGATACTGTTTGACTCACCTCGACTACTGATTGACTCACCTTTGATACTGGATGATGAGCTGCCACACCTGCATGAGGATAAGCCCTGTTGCTGTCAATAGAAGAAGGAGCCAGACGACTTTGAAAAGCCAGTGACCCCTCCCGTGCAGCTTGCGGACGCCATGGGCTGACGTGTTGTCCGCAAAGTCGCCCAGCATCTGCGAAGCTGGTATCCTCTTGTTGGTGGTCATCGTCCGCAGATATACTTTGCCCCGATGTGAAACAAAACAACGTCTTTATTGTCGCATCTTTTAAGAAGTGGACTGTGGTGTTGTCCTGCGCCTACTTGAGTTAAGTGTCATATTCATTATTGATATATGTAAAGCTTTTCCCTGAACAGTTCCAGCAGTATTGTCTAACGGCTGAGTGCCTCGAATCCAGATTTAATTTATTGAAGAACAAATGGGATGCATTACTGTCACGTTTACGTGTTGATGTTCATTACAAAATAGATGAAAGCGACTTTTGTAAGTTTGGCTGTTACGTAGGCCATCGTTTACAAACTTCACAATAGCTCTGTAGTAGATGATCTACCATACAATAGCAGTCTCACAATAGCAAACTTTGAATTTTTAAATGCTGTTTGTAAGTTTCAGAAAGACATTAGGAGACTATAAAGCCTATTAAGTGTTAACTCTTATTGTCGACTCAACTGTCTGGCTGAGCTGATGAATCGAGGAACCAGAAAAAAAAGGTTCCTGAAACAGCCATGATGTCGCGCAATGGTGGCGTGGCATCCATCTAAGAGTTCCGTTTTGGGGATGCCATCAGCCAAATGACAAAACTAGGTTTTCCTTGTCCATTTGAAGAACTTACATCAGACCACTTAGTAATAATTGATTTCAATTTGCCTCACAATTAACTTAAAGGCCTGGTGTTTAAAACACAAAACCAAAGTACAGGAATTTGAATTATCCCTTGAAGTATATGATATACTTTATACCGAGTTGTAACGAGAAAATACTTTTGGAGACCGTCTCCGTGGTCTAGTAGATAGAGCATCTACCCACAGAGCAAAAGGTCCGTGGTTCGATCCCCGCTCACGGCCATTCATACCAAAGAACGTCAGTATTATGCGTCTGAATGGGGTATCCATGCTGCGGCATGATATCTCAGTGGCCGAACAAGAGAAGTAGAAGCAGCCACACACACACACACGTCTGTTGTGTGTTTACTTAACGCCGCATCCGGCACTACTGTAGCCACATGACGTCGATAAGTCAAACGGGTCTGGACCAGACAATCGTCACACATACACACATATATACACGTCGCTGTAAAAGTGCAATATTTAGCGCAACGTTATACACCATTTCACCCCTCACCTTTTGAAATCTTTATCCAAGTTCCCGGGTACTTATTCATACTGGGGCGCGGATGGCTGCGTCTAAGGCGCCGCGAATCCCTGTGCAGAGTTGCGTCCCTTGGGCACACCAGAAACCTATGATTGTGGGTTCGAATCCCGGTTCGCCCTGATTATGTTTTTTATGTTTGTCAGCACCATACCCGTACTCGTGGGTTTCACCGAAGTGGTAAACGTCTGAGACCTGCATCACTTCGGGCTTTCCTCCCACATTATGCTGACACGCCACGAAATAACGGGAATACTGTTAAAAGCGGCGTTAAACCCAACTCACTCACTTATTCATACGGCCCATGAAGACCTGGGTTAGAATTGGTCTTCAGCTAAACATGCTTAGCGTAAGAGGCGACTAACCGGTTCGGGTGGTCAGGCTCGCTGATTTGGTTTCATGCAGGTCATCGTATCCCGAATGGGGCGGTGAGGCACCCGCTCGTCACGCCAGAGTCGCGGATTCGATTATCCTTATTAGTACAATGTGTGAAGCTCATTTCTGGATCCCCCGCCGTGGTACTGCTGATAAGACTATGCTCACACACTCACTCATATCCCAATTACGAAGATCGATGCCTGGTCCAAACTCAATTATTTGCAGACCAAAGCCATATAGCTAAAATACTGCCAAATGCGGCGTTAAACAACAAACAAAACTAATTCATACCAGAAAGTGCAGCATGTATAAAAACAATTCCTTGTGATGGAAGAAACCTTCTAATACTCTCAAGTTGATTATGTTTGTTTTTAGTCGTCACTAAGAAGATAACTGGCTCAACAATAGGTTCTCACGTGAAATATACCTTGACTTCGGCACCCAATTTATCTGTTCCGTTACACAGTGCCCTTAGTTCTTTGTTGCCTACTGATTCACCGAAGGCGTACAATGTAGGATGTTAGCATCTTGACGTCGTTTCCAGGTGCTCTGACCACGTTGGAACACGGCTGTTGTAATCTGTACAATCTTGCGTTCGTTAGCTGGTGGGCAGAACTCCAGATAAGCTAATAAATCAACGTTGCTCAATTACTTGTTATTCGCTTGCGTAAAATTTCAAAACCATAGTTTACGCCCAAGGTAAAGGTCCCACCCAAACCCCAGGGGATTTTTTTATGAGATATCATACACTTATTGACACAAGTACATTGGAGCCAACGTTATTTCAACTTCTAAATGCCTATCAAAGACTTCACTTAAAATTTGGATTTGACCAGACAATTACAAACGTTATCAATGCGTTACCAGGCTGAATATGAATGTAAACCAACTCCAACTGGTCATGACAATTCCTGCTTCACTCTGCTCATGACACTATCATCCAATAACCAATTCGTGTTTGTTTCATTTTCAGCCGGGGCGGTCGGGAAGCCTAGTGGTTAAAGCGTTCGCTCGTCAGGCCGAAGACCCGGGTTCGATTCCCGACATGGGTACAATGTGTGAAGCCCATTTCTGGTGTCCCCCGCCGTGATATTGCTGGAATATTGCTAAAAGCTTCGTAAAACCATACTCACTCACTCACTCACTCATTTTCAGCCACCATCAATCATGGGTGTATCTCTTCCCTCGAGGTTTATATCGCTGTGGTGACTATAGGCGACATGGGGCAAAGCACGAACAGATACAAATTAAAAGTCACATGAAACATTTCAAGAAGAATTGTTTAAAAAATATCCACTCATTTAAGTAAAATACCCAGATAGGATTGGGAGTAAATACTCGATTGCCGAACACTCTATCTGGAGCCTGCCTGTTAGCTTTCTCTGAGTCTGTGTGAATCCCAGGTGCGCCTTGATTATGAGTGAGTGAGTGAGTGAGTTGGGTTTAACGCCGCTTTTAACAGTATTCCCGTTATATCGCGGCGTGTCAGCTTAATGTGGGATGAAAGCCCGAAGTGATGCAGGTTCTCAGACGTTTACCTCTTCGGTGAAACCCACGAGCAAGTTAATGGTGCTGACAAACCTAGAAACATAATCGGGGCGAACCGTGATTCGAACCCACATTCATAGGTTTCTGGCGTGCCCAAGGGACGCAACTCTGCACAGCGAATCGCGGCGCCTTGGACGGATTGGCCACCCATGCCCCCGCCTTAATTATGCTAGTTGTCTGTCAGCACCCAACACATACTATGACGATTTCAGGCATATGGGTGTCCCAGTGACCCATGGTTCCGCAGTTCACCTTTACCTCAAAGTGAGAATGTTCGCACCATACTTTTGCTCAAGGCTTCCACACAACGTGCTTCCAAACACGCGGCACAATGGCACTTCCACCAACTAATATTGCTAAGAGAGGGGTTGTACCCATCATTAGCTTCAGAGCAAATGAAAGGTTTGAAACATTGTGGGTAAAATTATTTTTTTATTGCATTTGGAAATGTGAAATTGGTGAAAATTTGATTGAATAAAAAAACATGTGATACTGTAGTGTTTAACATAGTTTCGTAAAATATCACAGAGAGCGTCGACATTACATTAACATTGGAACATGCTAGTAATATCAGTCCCGGTTTCCGTACGAGAATCCAATCGCAGCGGGCTAAAAGCCCGGTGTCAATCCGGTTATGATCCTTGGTCTTTCAGAACCAATAATGTGACATTATAACAATGCAACATTCGTGAAACACAATAGAACATCGTAACGAGTAATAAAATTCATAATTATATTGTATCATAAAAAGAATTCTGATGTCTGATGATGTCAGTTGAGTTAAGGTACTTTACATCACAAACGACAAGCATTAAATGTGTACGTTCAAGCCGTAAGAGCTAACTAAAGAATAAGCGCCGTGCCAAATCTAGTTTGTTTAGGTTTACCCCTCGTACATGGGGGATGTACATGGCGGATGTACATGGGTGATGTAATCCCACTGACACGTGACAGTGGTAGCGATAGAAATGAATCCTAGCAATGTGTGAAGCTATAAAGCCAATAGCCCTGTGTGTCGAGGATGGAACTGAGCTGGAACTATGAACAATTTCAAGTTAAACACAATCATTGTAATCAGGCTACCATCATGTTCATCTATAATCAACTGCCATGGTAATATTTGCAATACATGTAGTTCGAGTGTACACATATCACAGAAAATCAGATCAATTTGAACACTATACAAGTTCGATGAACTATGGTTCTGAACATGTAGATGTGGCAATACCGAAAATATGACACGACAAGACAATAATTTTATAAAAGATAATGAATGTCAACAAAACCAAAACTTCAATTGAAGCAAACCTTTTCACAGAAATACATATGTTACATAAATGTTATATTTTGTACATATGTTACAGATATTTTTTTCACCGAGAAGCCTAAGTCGTCAATGTGCTTAAGGTTGTCGTTTATTTTTGAAAACATTTTATTGGCATTACAAAAGCCATATATTGGGCAAAGTTAGTTCAGCTTACGACGCGGCCAATATTGTAAATATTTAACATTGGAATAATAAAGGTGCGTCGAAAGTGCAATAGTAGCATTAGTAATATATAAAAATACATACAATACTGATTTAATGTATACTGTATGCCAGTCATCTGGTGAGATGTTGTAAATGACAAAGCAACAAATGTTAAATTCGAGGTGTTTAAGAGTATTAATTGTATTACCATAAATAACTGCCCGGTGATGTAACATTTTATTGTTAGATGGCTTATTGGTCAACAATTCAAAGGAAGGGATTTGTCTCCGTTCGCAGACAACAGCATGACGTGAACTAATTTCCAGTGAATTGGAAAATGTATTGAAGATACTACGTAATGGTATAATTGTAACTTTATCTGCTAGTGGCTTTAACAATCTTTGATTAAATTTAGGACCACTGGATTGATGACATGATACAAACGTGACCAGATAATTTCCGCTCCTGTATGGGCATATCAATAAAGAAGGATTCATAACGCAGTTTTAAAAGAGATCAATAATGATTTGTAGCTTCAACATTATGGATAGAAACATAATAACCATTCAGAACTTCTTCTGTGCCAGTATCAGTAAACGATAAAGGTATATATATCCGAGACATATGACGAATATATAAAGTCGAACCTTCGTCCTTTACAATGTATCTCAATAAGATCCAATCATAATAGTTTTATTACTCAGTTTCGTATCTAGTTATTTAATTATAACTGAATTAAACTTTCTTTTACAACATTTATTATTATTTTATAACCCTTAATTTATAACCAATATAGATGTTGTTGTTTGGTTTTATCTTTCGCTATATCAACAATACTACAAGCAGAAAAGCTTCAGACACATTAGGCGAATTACTGATAACACCTGTAAGCGTACAATTACAATTATTAATTAAGATAATATCTTTAAAAAAAAATCTAAAGTCACCATGATTGATGTAATTCGTGGTGGACACTGCTTCTCAAGAAGTTTTCAAGAACGATATCACGAGAACAATAAAGTGCGCCTTCTTGCATGTGTTGAAGACAGTCCACTATACAGTGGCGGTATTATGTGGGCGGTAGGCGAAACGTAAAAAAAAATACTCGACTAATTTGAAACCACATGGTTTCTGAGTTGGTCTAGATCAAATCTATGTTTGGCACAAAGTATATCAGAACAGTATGCTATTACACCCCTGAAGCAACCATTGTCCCTCCTGTTTGATTCATCGTAGTGATCCACGAGAATGTCATTCGACTGCATTGTATGGCGAGGAGTGAGTGAGTATGGTTTTACTACGCTTTTAGCAATACTCCAACAATATCACGGCGGGGGACACCAGAAATGGGCTTCACACATTGTTACCATGTCGGGAACCGAAACCGGGTCTTCGGCGTGACGAACGAACGCTTTAACCACTAGGCTACCCGACCGCCCCTATGGCGAGGAAGTGATTCAGTTAAACAGAGGACGTCAAAGTCAGATATAGCATCATACATTTCAATAAGTTTATGGCTAATACTTTGATATTATAATAGAAAATACAAACGTCAGAATCAGTGTTTAAGGAGTCATCTGGACCAGGATGTGGATGGATATCTCCAGCGATAAGAAACATGGGGATGCAAGACATAACGTTTTCAAGCAGAGAGGTGATGAAGCAAAGAAGGATAAAAAACACATGGCAGTGGTAATGAATTTACCGAAGATAAAAGCGAGGATAAAAGCGAGTGACACCCAATATAGCGTTTCAGGTGAGAAGAAACACATCTATTATAATATTTAAGATAGCTACGCGATAAAACGCACAGAACAATGAAGAAAGAAGCATGGTTTATTTTACGATAAAACTTTGTTCTATCATGACGTCATTTCTGGAGAACATGCGGGAAGGACCGGATTCTATTTAGGGAGTCATCATTATTTAAATACGTACCTTTGACTAACGTCCTTAAAGAGGCTGTACATAATGTTGATTTCTCTCTCCCTCCCTGCACTGCCGTATTGTACGATAAACAACGACCATGAGTCATTTATTTCTTAACTCAGCCGGCTATTGTCGTGTGTGTTGATGTCTCAGCTGTGTTCCAATTGATGGAGAATGTTATACCAGGTATGGACAATGAAGTGAAAGTACTTGAGTGTATTTAAAATAACATCACTGTTCTTATTCTTGTTTAATGGGTACATTGTATGGGGAATTTGTATAATTCATGAAGGGAAGCGTTTTATGAGAATCATGGTAGTGTGCATGTGTGAAAATGCACGAATTATATATGGGGGTATTCACGGTAAATGGGGTTGTGTTGTATTGTGAAGTATTCAAAGAACAAGAAAGTAGATATCATTGTGTAAATGACTTTGTAAAGATTAAACATGCATGTGACACAAACATTAAGTATATACATGTGTGTGAGATTAGCTTTGGGAAGGATCGTCACCTTGGACAGTATTATTGCACATTCAATAAGACAATAGCATTGTGCAATGGTTCTGTTCACCATATGGAATAAGAATACTGGGTATACGGAGTATTTCATGTACTAATTCAGTGAAGCAATTACTTTGACAGCATTTGAGCAATGTCGTTTACAGTTTCAATGCGAACTTCAATACTAGTCTGCTAAGTGACATTTTGTGCCGAAAACAAAGATATGTCATCATCCACCATTCAACTCACCAAAATAATATCCAAGCAATAACCATACTCTATAAGGTTTTTATTAAATACTATAAAGAATAAATAACAAAGCGACAATTCGATTGGCGGAGAGTAAATCTACTGCCTTTGCAACAATAGATTTGTGGTTAAATATAAAAATGATTTCAACCACGTACCAATCCATCTTTACTTTCCAAGATCTCAAACTTCAGTGTATGTTTCAGAAATATCTACCCTACCTGCTGAACCTGCTGACAATTTGGTGAAAAAACACAGGCTTTCCCAGATGGTCATATCATAAGATGCAAAGAACAGAGGAAGCAACTGAAAGTGTGCCCAAATGAATATTGAATTGATACATGCTATGCTATTAAAAATTGTTATTGTGTATGAAATTATATGTTTTAAGGCATTTATATAATAATAATATCCATTAATAGAAGAAGAAGTTGAATAAGTTTAAAGCAGCTACAGCCATGTTGGTAGAGTCCGGCATGGAGTTACGACTTGAGGTCAATCACGGGCGAGCTGCTGACTTCGGTGCGTGGCTTGCAGCGGTTGGCCAGGAGGAGGTAGAACAACTCCAGAACCTCACAGACAGACAGCACGGATATACCCATCCACAGCCCAAGCTGGCCGCCGAAGTCACTGAGGAGACTCTCAAACTGAAACATATACAGATGCAGCTTTTTGTATTAAACAACCGCCTCCGTGGTCCAGTGGTAGAGCGTCCGCCCGGAGAGCGGAAGGTCCGGGGGTCGATCGCCGCCCGCGTGATACCAAAAGACGTTAAAAGATGGCAATTGTTGTTATCCTATCTGTCGCTCGGTATTCATGGGCTAAAACAAGGACTGGTCAGTTTGGAGTCAGTATACTGTGTCTGAGTGGGGTATTCATGTTAAACTGCGGCATGGTATCTCAGTGAGCTAGCACTATAAATCGGCATCAGTCCGGACTAGTACAAGCAGCCACACAAACACACACGTACATTCACGTCGATATATAATTGCAATAATCTTTTGATGCGACGTTAAACCCAATTTCACCTCATCTTTGTATTAAAACAAGGTATCAACATAACTACACAAAGTAGGGTTACACATGTAAATAGAAATTGTCAATGCATTAGAATAACTGGTCTAAATTATCTGCCGAAACAGATAAAAATTTGACGTAAGGACAAAATAGCTGCAATGGACCGTTTAAAATCAGCGATGTCACAATGACTGTATTAGCAAGAAAGGTAAGTATGTCCCGTCCTACTAGTACCACCAGGCATTCACACAATTTGCAAATATTTATTGCCAGACGAATCACAGGAATACTCCTGTCGTCGGTGGCCTGTCAACAAACCAGACAATTAAGTGATCGATGAAGCAGAATACTGAAACTAATACACACGGTATGTTAATTTTGAATTACGTCTGCTGTGCTGCTTATAAATAAAAAAAACAAACTGAAGAAATACATTCGTTTTGCAACACAGTGGAGGACAGTTTATATGTCTCCGCCCAAACATTTCATAAATGTTACCGAGCTTTGCTACTGTCACTCAGGGAGCTTATACCTTTTGAGCACTGGCATTCCTTGACATTGTTGTTTAGTAACGATTCCTTTATTCGTTACTTTATGTTATTTCTTAACACTACTTTTCGTTTTCAAGCAGAATTTATTTCAATCTCATTAAAATCAGATTCTAGATTTCGCTACCGCTAAACAAAGATCTGAAGACATCCCATTAGGGGTCACGTCAGAACGACCTTTCATCCAACCAATCAGTGCGTCGCTTACCAGATTATGAAAGTGACAGTCGTAATGTGATTTCTAATCATGCAATCTTTAACATGGGGTATTCCGAACGATAGTTACGGGTTTAACGACTGAATCCTTACATTCTAGACCATCTATTAGTCATTCCAGAATGTTTTTTGTTCAGGTTTCAAATTTGTAATCGAGAATTTGACAAAATATGTTTCGAAGCGTACTCGCCAATTTGAGATTTGTGCCGTAAAGCACGTGCTGGTTTCTGATTGGTCATTCCATTGGTCGGTCAAAGTCCGCGCAAGGTCGGTCTGACGTGACCCGTAATGGGATGACCTCAGATCTTTGTTTAGCGGTAGCGAGAACTAAGGTCTGATTTTAATGAGATTGAGTTTATTTAAACAAATTAATGACGTGTGATTCATTTAACCCCTAGAAATTAAGATGGACCACCCCCACATTCAGTAATATTTCAGCTACGTGAGTATGAACCAGCCAATGCAGTGATGGGGATACGATAACATGATTTTGACATGAAGTCACCGACTCTGACAAACCGATCCATTTGGTCGCCTCTTACGATAGGCATAGGTTGCTGCGACAGTAAACATACTCCTTCTCCAACCAAATTCCAAGCAATTATTAAAACAATAGATATAGTTTTTTTTATATCAACTGAATATCTTAGTTTAAGATAAAAGTGTTTCATAAAGCTCAGCAAATTTACTGATACAGGTTTGTAAAAATGTTGTCAAGATGACGTTTGTGAGAAACTTCCCCCACTCTGCACAAGCACCCACACATGTAATGTCTCAAGAGTTTAAAGGGCAAGTTCACACGGACATGAACCTATTTTTCTTGTACTTTTTCCACATTAAAAGTGTTAACCTAGAAGTGTCATAGACAAAAATATAAAAATATCACAATTAATGAACATATTTTTCGCATTAAAACGATTTATATTTTTCACATTTACCAAGTGTTCTATTTCCACAACAAAAACACCATGGCTAATCCCCTTTGCAATATGACGTCATTGGTGCCAATTGATAAACATTATGACGTCATCATGCTTTGTTAGAGCCGCTTCACGTGGTGTAGGTACAGGTGTGTGATTCTAGCGTCTCAGATGCCAGCCAGCATAGTGTTATGCTGAGTCACCACTGCGCCGGAATGTGTCGTAGGCAATGTTGTTTTACCGCAAACTGGTACTTGATATCTTTTGCGTTGAGAATAGACAGGGACCCAGTTGAATTGGCACCAATTACGTCATCATCTAAGGGGGATAACTCAGGCCTGTTTAGCTCGAAAAACGAAGGCCTCATAACGGCATATCATTTTCACACTATTGTGAGCTTCCTACTTTCACTGTGAAAAAAATGAGTGTATATTTTCAAACACAGATACTAATTAATTCTAAAATTGCGTTTTGTTTAGAAAAAGATAAAAAGTGATTTTTGCGTGTACACTTCCCCTTTAAAAATGCCACTCTTCACACTCCTTGATGATCACGGGAAAGGCTCCACTTCCAAACGGAAACCAGAGATTCATTTGACAAAAAAAGGTGCGGCACGTTTTGGTATCTTACGAAAGCCTTTTGAACTCGTAATTACGACTTTCAGAAAAAAATATGCGCTTTTGACCCTAATAGGCTTCCGTAGTGTGACACGCCGACAAGCCTTCTTAGACAATTTTAACTACAGTATGTTGTACTCCAAACTGGACGTGTGTAGGGCTCTTCAAGATTACCTCATAAGCTGGCTCCTCTTCGATGGTTTGCAGGGATAGCTCCGAGAAGTACACATTTATGGCAAGAAGGCTGTCTCTGGAAATAGAACACATCCTAGCATGACGTAACCCTCTTTCTAAGATTCTACCTTTCTATCCATCTAATATCTGAGAGGATATCCATAGTTAAAAACAATTTCAGCGTTTTAATGCTGGTTTGTAATGATGTACACAAACGGGTAAGAAGCGTCTGTATAATTATTGTTCGTGTCTTAATTAACGATTGAAATTTCATGCATACATAATAGAAAATTACTGGCTGTTGATTCTATCGATTTCCCCACTGTGGGACATTACTGGGTTTTGATTCTATGTAGTTCCACCTATAGGAAATTATAAGGTTTTGCCTTTTGCCCCAAGTGTATAACATTACTGGGTTTTGAAGCTATGAATTACCCAGAAATTTCTCGTTTTGATTTTATGGATTTCTCCTATATAGAAAATCACTTGGTATTGATGTAATGGATGTCACGATTGACAGCGTGTGAATCACGCTGCTCTTTGACCCAATTGTAACAGAGAATATGGCGACATACCTGCTGTTCTCCTCGCTGAACAAATCATTCACAAAAGTAGAAGACCATTTCTTGACCTTGAACTTGACTGCAGGGTCATAGTGGTTTGCCGGCCATCTTGTCATTGATACTTGTTTCTCAAAGTCATACACCCTACGAACAATAGATTGGTCCTTTTAATTTCATTAGACATTTTTTTGTGAACGTTTGTCTTAAATCAGTGGTTACAACCACTTCGTCATTAAATGAAATAAACATTGAATGAAAACAGTTCTGTCAGATTACTTATGTTGAGAAAAAATGAAAATATGTAAGGCCCAGCCCATTTCTTGATATTAAGAAAACACTTACTACGATACGTAATTTGTTTTACTTCGCAAAATTGCTTTTTATGTATCTACGATAAATGACATTCCAGGGTTCCTAATTAAACGGGAATTTTTTTTAGAATTAGTACAGAACTCGATAGGGAAACATTTGGTTGTTGTGAAATCTAACCATGCACGAGATAATTGGAACCATACAATATACCTGCACGTGCTCCGACAGGTATGTTCGCATTTCAACTCGCCGGACTGCTTCTCCTTGATTATGTCCTTTATACAGGGGATGTCTACAACACACAAAAGTTAACATGAGACATGGGATGTCTACAATAGACACAAGTTAACATGAAATTGGGGCTGTCAACAATACACACAGGGAAACATGACACAGGGGATGTCTACAATACACGCACGTTAACATGACACAGGGGAAGTCTACAATACACACACGTTAACATGACACAGGAGATGTCTACAATACACACACGTTAACATGATACAGGGGATGTCTACAATAAACGCACGTTAACATGACACAGGGGATGTCTACAATACACACACATTAACATGAAACAGGAGATGTCTACAATACACACACGTTAACATGACACAGGGGATGTCTACCATATACACAGGTGCACATGACAAAGGAGATGTCTACAATCCACACACGTTAACATGACACATGGGATGTCTACAATACACACACGTTAACATGAGACAGGGCATATCTACCATATACACAGGGAAACATGACACAGGAGATGCCTACAATACACACACGTTAACATGACACAGGAGATGTCTTCAATACACACACGTTAACATGACACAGGAGATGTCTACCATACACACACGTTAACTTGACACAGGGAATGTCTACCATACACACACGTTAACATGACACAGGGGATGTCTACAATACACACAGGGAAACATGACACAGGAGATGTCTACAATACACACACGTTAAAATGACACAGGAGATGTCAACAATACACACACGTTAACATGACACAGGGGATGTCTACAATACACACAGGGAAACATGACACATGAGATGTCTACAATACACACACGTCAACATGACACAGGGGATGTCTACAACACACACAGGGAAACATGACACGGGAAATGTCTACAATACACACACATTAACATGACACAGGGGATGTCTACAATACACACACGTTAACATGACACAGAGGATGTCTACAATACACACACGTTAACATGACACAGGAGACGTCTACAATACACACACGTTAACATGACACAGAGGATGTCTACAATACACACACGTTAACATGACACAGGAGATGTCTACAATACACACACGTTAACATGACACAGGGGATGTCAACAATACACACACGTTAACATGACACAGAGGATGTCTGCAATACACACACGTCAACATGACACAGGGGATGTCTACAACACACACAGGGAAACATGACACGGGAAATGTCTACAATACACACACATTAACATGACATAGGGGATGTCTACAACACCCACACGTTAACAAGACACAGAGGATGTCTCCAATACACACACGTTAAAATGACACAGGGGATGTCTACCATACACACAGGTGCACATGACACAGGAGATGTCTACACTATACACACGTTAACATGACACAGGGGATGTCTACAATACACACACGTTAACACGACACATGGGATGTCTACAATACACACACGTTAACATGAGACAGGGCATATCTACCATATACACAGGGAAACATGACACAGGAGATGCCTACAATACACACACGTTAACATGACACAGGAGATGTCTTCAATACACACACGTTAACATGACACAGGAGATGTCTACCATACACACACGTTAACTTGACACAGGGGATGTCTACAATACACACACGTTAACATGACACAGGGGATGTCTACAATACACACAGGGAAACATGACACAGGAGATGTCTACAATACACACACGTTAAAATGACACAGGAGATGTCAACAATACACACACGTTAACATGACACAGGGGATGTCTACAATACACACAGGGAAACATGACACATGAGATGTCTACAATACACACACGTCAACATGACACAGGGGATGTCTACAACACACACAGGGAAACATGACACGGGAAATGTCTACAATACACACACATTAACATGACACAGGAGATGTCTACAATACACACACGTTAACATGACACAGAGGATGTCTACAATACACACACGTTAACATGACACAGGAGACGTCTACAATACACACACGTTAACATGACACAGAGGATGTCTACAATACACACACGTTAACATGACACAGGAGATGTCTACAATACACACACGTTAACATGACACAGGGGATGTCAACAATACACACACGTTAACATGACACAGAGGATGTCTGCAATACACACACGTCAACATGACACAGGGGATGTCTACAACACACACAGGGAAACATGACACGGGAAATGTCTACAATACACACACATTAACATGACATAGGGGATGTCTACAACACCCACACGTTAACAAGACACAGAGGATGTCTAAAATACACACACGTTAAAATGACACAGGGGATGTCTACCATACACACAGGTGCACATGACACAGGGGATGTCTACACTATACACACGTTAACATGACACAGGGGATGTCTACAATACACACACGTTAAAATGACACAGGGGATGTCTACCATACACACAGGTGCACATGACACAGGAGATGTCTACACTATACACACGTTAACATGACACAGGGGATGTCTACAATACACACAGGGAAACATGACACATGAGATGTCTACAATACACACACGTCAACATGACACAGGGGATGTCTACAACACACACAGGGAAACATGACACGGGAAATGTCTACAATACATACACGTTAACATGACACAGAGGATGTCTACAACACACACACGTTAACATGACACAGAGGATGTCGCCAATACACACACGTTAAAATGACACAGGGGATGTCTACCATACACACAGGTGCACATGACACAGGAGATGTCTACAATACACACACGTTAACATGACACAGGGGATGACTACCATACACACAGGGAAACATGACACAGGAGATGTCTACAATACACACACGTTAAAATGACACAGGAGATGTCTACAATACACACACGTTAACATGACACAGGGGATGTCTACAACACACACAGGGAAACATGACACGGGAAATGTCTACAATACACACACATTAACATGACACAGGGGATGTCTACAACACACACAGGGAAACATGACACAGGAGATGCCTAAAATACACACACGTTAACATGACACAGGAGATGTCTTCAATACACACACGTTAACATGACACAGGAGATGTCTACCATAGAAACACGTTAACATGACACAGGGGTTGTCTACAATACACACACGTTAACATGACACAGAGGATGTCAACAATACACACACGTTAACATGACACAGGAGATGTCTACAATACACACACGTTAACATGACACAGGGGATGTCAACAATACACACACGTTAACATGACAGAGAGGATGTCTGCAATACACACACGTCAACATGACACAGGGGATGTCTACAACACACACAGGGAAACATGACACGGGAAATGTCTACAATGCACACACATTAACATGACATAGGGGATGTCTACAACACACACACGTTAACATGACACAGAGGATGTCTCCAATACACACACGTTAGAATGACACAGGGGATGTCTACCATACACACAGGTGCACATGACACAGGAGATGTCTACAATACACACACGTTAACATGACAAATGGGATGTCTACAATACACACACGTTAACATGACACAGGGGATATCTACCATATACACAGGGAAACATGACACAGGAGATGTCTACAATACACACACGTTAACATGACACATGCGATGTCTACAATACACACACGTTAACATGACACAGGGGATATCTACCATATACACAGGGAAACATGACACAGGGGATGTCTACAATGGACACACGTTAACATGAGACAGGAAATGTCTACAGTTCATACAGGTGCACATGACACATGGGATGTCTACAATACGCACAGGGAAACATGACACAGGAGATGTCTACAATACACACACGTTAACATGACACAGGAGATGTCTACAATACGCACACGTTAACATGACACAGGAGATGTCTACAACACACGCACGTTAACATGACACAGGGGATGTCTACAACACACACAGGGAAACATAGCACGGGAAATGTCTACAATACACACACGTTAACATGAGACAGGGGATGTCTACCGTACACACAGGTGCACATGACACAGGAGATGTCTACAATACACATACGTTAACATGACACAGGGGATGACTACCATACACACAGGGAAACATGACACAGGAGATGTCTACAATACACACTCGTTAAAATGACACAGGAGATGTCTACAATACACGCACGTTAACATGACACAGTGGATGTCTACAACACACACAGGGAAACATGACACGGGAAATGTCTACAATACACACACATTAACACGACACGGGAGATGTCTGCAATACACAAACGTTAACATGACACAGGAGATGTCTACAGTAGATGTCTACAATACACACACGTTAACATGACACATGAGATGTCTACAATACACACGCGTTAACATGAGACAGGGGATGTCTACAATACACACAGGGAAACATGACACGGGATATGTCTTCAATACACACACGTTAACATGACACAGGAGATGTCTACAATACACACACGTTAACATGAGACAGGGGATGTCTTCATTACACACATGTGAACATGACACAGGAAATGTCTACAACGCACACACGTTAACAAGACACAGGAGATGTCTACAATACACACACGTTAACATGACACAGGGGATGTCTACCATACACACAGGTGCACATGACACAGGAGATGTCTGCAATACACACACGTTAACATGACACAGGAGATGTCTACAGTAGATGTCTACTGTATACACAGGTGAACATGACACAGGAGATGTCTCCAATACACACACGTTAAAATGACACAGGGGATGTCTACCATACACACAGGTGCACATGACACAGGAGATGTCTACAATACACACACGTTAACATGACACATGGGATGTCTACAATACACACACGTTAACATGACACAGGGGATATCTACTATATACACAGGGAAACATGACACAGGAGATGCCTAAAATACACACACATTAACATGACACAGGAGATGTCTTCAATACACACACGTTAACATGACACAGGAGATGTCTACCATACAAACACG